GAGGAAAAGAAAAGGGAGAAAGGAAGAGGGAGAAAAAACTGCAGAGAAGAGGGACTGGGATAAAGGGCAAAAAACCAAAAACCAACTAAATAAGCAGACAAAAAAATACATATATCAATCACCTGGATCACCTGTTGAGAAAGAAAAAAGAAAACAAGCAGAAGAAAATGAGAGCAATATAGTAAACAACATCACAATGATATATGGGAATATAACAGCAAATACTAAATATTAAACATTATTGTGCAGCACGTAATATCGACAGCGCACAGTGTGCTTTGCCAAAAAGGGTGTAGTTTGTGTGTGTGAGCACCCGTGTGTACACCTGTGAGCATGGACGCGCTTGTTTTTAACAGGTTCCTTCATGTAATGATCTGCTAGAGGGTGTGGGGGGGCCACAGCCCCGTCCACCAGGGCATGAAGCAGGTATGGAGGAGATCAAGACTCCAGACTTACAGAGGCCCCCAGAACACAAGAGACCAAGGAAGACCAACAGAGGGGCAGCTGCGCCACTATCCCAGAAAGAGCTTCAGTCACCTTTCTCACTCACTATGTGTTAATAGACCTCTCTGCATTGAGTCACTGGTTATTATTAATCTCTGGCTCTCTTTCACGCCATGTCTTTTGTCCTGTCTTCCTCCACTTACCCCAACTGGTCACAGCAGATGACTGGCCCTCTCTGAGAAAGTTCTGCTGGAGGTTTCTTCCTGTTAAAAGGGAGTTTTTCCTTCCCACTGTCGCCAGCTGAACTCAGCTGAACTCTTCTACTGGCTCACCACAAGGTTGTTGTCTCTCTCCTCTACTGTATATTTTGTACACTAATGACTGTCGCAGTACACAGGCCAACAGGCATTTCATTAAATACGCAGATGACACAGTCATTGTAAGCCTCCTTCATGGTGAAGAGGACTCCCATGGGCCTGTTGTGGATGAGTTTGTTTCGTGGTGTGATCAGTCCTTCTTAATGATTAACACCTTGAAAACCAAGGACATGGCTATTGACTTCAGGAAGACATCCCCCCATCCTGCGCTAACAGTGGTAAATGGTGCAGCCATTGAACTGGTGGACAGTTATAAGTATTTGGGGGTTGTTCTTGTCCTAGTCTCTGTCCTTTGAGTCACATCTTGCTGCTACAGTGAAAAAGGTTCAACAAAGACTGTACTTTTTAAGGAGGTTGAGAGGTTTTAATGTTTCATCTGAAATGATGACTCTTTTTTTATAAAAGTTTTATTGAATCTGCTTTAACTTTCTGTATCATTGCTTGGTACGGTAGTATGTCCCTGAATAATAAGACCAGACTTAACAACCTGGTTAAAGTGGCTGGCAAGATTTCAGGGAGGTCTCAGGTCCAGCTTGTGGACTTTTATAACAGGCAGGTGCTGAGGAAGGCAACCTCTGTCCTGTTGTGTTCAGATCATCCTCTCTTTAATGATTTTCAACTGCTTCCATCAGGTCGTCGTTATAAAGTGCCTGCAGTGAAGACAAAGAGACATAGATTGTCTTTTGTACCTACTGCTATTATCATAGTTAATAACACTAAAGCATAAGTGTTGTTGCCATTGCACATTGCACTTTTTTGATGAAAAATCTAGGTTGTTTTCTCAGGCTTGTATTATATTATATTATTTTGGTGAGTGTATGTGATGTGTTGGTTGTCTGTTTGTTTGGACGGACATACTGCAAATCAATTTCCCGTTAGGGACAATAAAGTTACCATTGACCATTGACCAAAGCACTTGCTCATAGGGGGTTATATGATTGCTTGGGTTTTTTTCTGTTGTATTATTGTACGGTCTTTACCTTTCAATATAAAGTGCTTTAAGGTGACTGTTGTTGTGATTTGGCGCTGTATAAATAAAATTGAATTGAATTGAATCTTGTCACTGTGCTGTCTTTGTTATTAGCAGCAGTACTTTTTTTTAATGCCAAAACCCAGTTAGTAATGGCACATTATGTTAGGGAATCTGGTCTTAAGCCTCTTTGCTTTTGTTTCCATTATCATGGATAGATGTTGATAACACTGTGGGATCTTTTTAAACTCTATATCTTTTTAATTTAACATAAGAAAATTTCTTGTTTCCAGTACACGTTTTGGAACTTCATCCCAAAGAATATGTTTGAGCAGTTCAGGAGAGTCGCCAACTTCTACTTCCTCATCATATTTCTGGTTCAGGTAAAACATTTTCTTGCTCACACTGACTGAACTTCACTACAAGGCTTCTGCAAAGCATGTTGTAAAGATAATTCATATTTTTCCTTAAGGGAGAGTTTTCCTTGTGTGCTGTTTATCTAGAGACGTCTGCTTTCTCTTGAATTTAATGGCACTTGCATCAGAAGCATACATTAGAAAAACTCAGCAGAAACATCTCTTTCTATGAATCATTAGAGTCAATCAAAGAAATGTTTCACGTAGAAACATATTTTTCTTTATGCTTCATTATTGACATGTGCAGTTCAATATACAGAGAATGGTTTCTACCTTAAATTGCTCAAAGCTGGGAGACTCACACTAAAACTGTCGTGATAGACCAGAGGAAAAACGTGTATATGGGATTTCAGAGTGAGATGTCACTTTTACTATACTTATTCACCACTGTGAATAAGGGAACAGCTTAAAGTAGCTCCACTCATCATATTTATGTTATGTTTATATTTATGTTTAGTGCCATAAAGCTCAGACATGTTTTATTGCCTATTTACTGCTGTCTGTCATTTCTATATATTCTTCTTCCCCCGAAACCTTTTCTGCCGTTCATTTCTCTCTCTCGCTGTATGTTCATGTGTGCGGTCACTTCAGTTGATTATTGACACTCCCACCAGTCCGGTCACCAGCGGACTGCCACTGTTCTTTGTCATCACAGTCACCGCCATTAAACAGGTGAGTTCACCTAATGTGACTGTTAACAGTAAACACTACACCAGCAGCCACACCTGCAGGCACACATGTTCACTTTTACATCCTCCTCTCTGTCTCCTCCTGTCTCTCTTAGGGTTATGAGGACTGGTTGAGACACAAAGCAGACAACGCTGTCAACCAGTGTTCTGTCCACGTGGTGCATCATGGCAAAGTGGTCCGCAAACAAAGCCGCAAACTCAGGGTGTGTGTGTGAAACCAGATAACTCACTCACCCCATCTAACAGAGCTTTGGTGCATTTGTTTTAGTGGCTCACACTGGGAAATTTTCCTGCTACTAAGCTCTCTGTACGTGTGTGTGTGTGTGTGTGTGTGTGTGTGTGTTTGCCTGCATTTAAAAGCAATTTAGCTTTAAAAGAACTTAGATTGATGTTTGTTATGTAACAACATAAGACTGAAATGATATGAGCTTACTGCTGGTAAGTCATTAGGTGTGTTGCATTTGACTGCATTTTCCGTTCAGTGACTGTATTTCTCTACTAAAGTGCTGCTAGGACTCCTCACTGATATGCTCACTTAGGTGGTCAGAGCCAGGACGGTAGTGGCAAATTAGACCCCGGTGAATTAATTTAAATATGCAAAAAGCTCCAGCTGTTGGCTTCAAGGTATCAAGGCCCTGCATGGACTTAGAAGTAAACATTTGTTGTCTCGGTCTGTGTGGCAGGTTGGAGATGTGGTCTTGGTGAAAGAAGATGAGACTTTTCCCTGTGATCTCATTCTCCTCTCCTCGTCTCGAGATGACGGGACCTGCTTTGTTACTACAGCCAGCCTGGATGGAGAGAGCAGTCACAAGGTGTGCTGGATAAACTTAATCCACTTAAATATGTACTAGATGCATTATGATTTGCTGTGATTTATGTTTTTCTCTGTCCATTTATCCATTCATTCATCTAACTCTTAATCCATTCCCTTATTGCTTTTCTTATTTCCCTTCATCTCCCTTCCGCCCTCTGTCACCATGCCACAACGTGTGTCTTTAATACTTCTCCTCCTGTGTTGCCTTATTACTTACACTCCCATTATCTTTCTCTCTTTTTTCATTTACCCAACCATTTCTTCTGTTTTCCTTCCCTCTTCCAACCTAGACATATTATGCAGTTCAGGAAACCAAAGCTTACAACACAGAGAAAGAGGTGGACACGATCCATGCCACAATAGAATGTGAACAACCGCAGCCAGACCTGTACAAGTCAGTAACACACACACACACACACACACACACACACACACACACACACACACACACACACACACACACACACACACACACACACACACACTTGAACAAAGTGTTCTTGCAAAATAAATGTGCCTTATCTCATTTCTTTTCCTACCCACACAGATTCGTGGGGCGTATCAACATCTACATGACCAATGAGCCAGTGGCAAGGTAAAATAACACAAAAATATTACACTTTTATATTAAAGATCATTAAAGAAATCAATATGTTTCTATTGTATTCACCCATCATTCAAAAATAAAATTCAAAACCATCCAGACATGTATTAAATTTCTTTGATGACAAAGTGTGATGCTGCTCAATCTTTCAAAGACGATTTCGCATTTCTGCAGAATGACGACTTAGTGCGAAGCTTACCTGTTTATCTTAAGTAGATTTAATTGAGCACAGCATTAGTTCACCTCAGCTGCAATGCCAGCAGATCAGCTGATAACAATCCAAGCCCCCATCAGCTGATGGCTCACCTGATACACCTCTGCATCCATTTGACAAATCTCTTATGGAGTACACTACTATTTTTCCTTTCCCTCAGTTGCTGCACTGCTGCAGGATGCTTTGAAACCCACTTTTACTCTGCAGCTGACTTTTTAAGTGCCATATCTTAAAAAGTTATAATTCATTGTTCTTGAATTATGCTTTTCCTGTCTCTAGCTTTCTGTATATGTGCATGGAATGGTGGGGAATTCCCAGAACAGATATAAAGTTCTTCAGATGGAACCTTATTTGCCTCTTACTAGATTCAAGATTCAAGATTCTTTATTTGTCACATGCATAGTTATACAAGTATAACACGCAGTGAAATATAATATAAAATAATAATAATAATAATAATAATAATAATAATAATAATAATAATAATAA